AGATGAGAGGCAGCTGGGGGAGAAAAGAGAGTGAACAGGAACATTGGAAGTGTGACGGGCAGGGGAAGATACGGTGGGTCTGGGAATGGAGCCTCACTCGGGGATGTCAGGCTTGCTGATTGAGAGTGATCCCATTGTCCAGCCCCAGGATCTTCCCTCAGGGCCAGGTTATAGGATCCTGTACTGGGCAGTAGGAATAAACTCAAGGAACAGGAGGAAGAACTGCAACCAAGGCAGCAGTCAGATAAATGAATTCTGAGTCCAGGGCAGAAATGTAATTTGAGAAAGTGTAATCACAGTGAGAATAACTTTGAGAGGAGGAAGAGCCACAGCCTAGACAATGGTTTGATAAGGGTAGTACGGTCTACCTTAAAGGGCTGACAGGTACTTGGTGGCCCTGGACTCCGGCTGTTGCTGCTGAGGACCAGGTCAGTAGCAATAAATCTGTCCTCATCCACAATTTACATTTTTGCAGTCACATGTTCATCATTGGTATACAATTCATTTTCAAATTCTGGTTTATGTTGTTCAATCCCCATTACCTTTTTCTCTATATACTACTAAAAATCTCATGTCTGTAACCTTCAGTTGAGTGAAACAGTACCTGAAATGGGCTAACTTACAGAATGCATCCAAAATACAAGACCCATTACTTCCGTGGGATAGAAATTTGGGAAATTTGTGACTGCTTCACCACTACTGTGCTGCTGCGCCACCATGGTCAGACCAGGACACATGATCATCATGGGCACATCCCCAACCTATTTCCTACCTCCCTCTGTCCCCTGCACCCAATCTCTGGTGGCAAGGCTCAAAGAGTGACTGTTGATTGGCTACTTTGGAACCAAGGCTGGAATTTGAAAGCTTTTAACGGTGGGAAGGACGGAGTGACTTGGATGTCTGCTGGTGAGGTAGGGCTGGCTGGGGGGCACTGGTGTGAAGGGTGAGTCCCCTTCCTTCCTTGAGGGAGGGGCCCTTGGGGATATGCTAGAATTGGGATCTGGGGTGCAGTTTTCCTCACAGTCCAAGGTTCCCTTGGTTCTACCCCTCCCAGCAAAGCAGCAGGCATTTCTGCGGATCAGTTGAGAAGGAGGCGGCGGCTTCATGGTGTACCTCCTGAAGTTTGTGAGGGGAGGACAAATGGTGTAAGCCTATATATATATATATTTACTTCTTCCCAGAATATAACAACCTTAGGACATGGCAAAAATATGCTTTACTGAAAGATTATTCTAAGTGCATTAACATACAGATTTACTTCTTTTTTTCTACAAATGGAAAGGAGTCCAAATAAATGTGGTATATTTTTAAAAATAATTTGTAATCAAAGATATCCTGAAAATTTTGACACTGACAGCAAGATAGTTTCTCACATTTTAGACAACATAGCTGTCTCTTATTGCTTGTTTCATTCAGTCCTTAAAATTCACACATCAATGGAAGTACCAATAATAAGTATTATTATTGGAAGTACCAATAACAAATATTTCTAAAGACTAATTGTGGGCATTTAATAATAACTTCTGATAATTTAGGTGCCTCTGAAGTTGAAAATGCTGCTGAACCAAATGCAGATGTCAGTAAATGCTGAATTTGTAAATATTGCCAGTGGGTAGCAAAAGACAGATATATTTATCCTTTAACATAGAAAATGTCAAAAAAAATCCGGTTATTATCCAACAGGTGCTTTAAAGTAAAAATCCAAATCCTCCATAGAACAGTGTTTATTTAAAAAAAATGTTATTAATTTCAAGGTCTGGATAAACCCCTAGCATCAATAGGCATGAGAAAAAGGGTAGGTGAAAATGCAATTTTATAGAAGTAGTACACTGTAGTTCTTGAATTGATTTAATGGCAGCAGGAGATACATCTAAAGTATATTTTGAATCCAGAGTAATCCAAGTAATTAAAGGTGCTCAAATTTTTGATCCAGAAAACTAGGACTTTATCGCACGACCAACACATATGAAAGAAAGATTCCTTCTGTGAACATCCTCTCCAGCATTCAGGAGACTCATGGTGATATATGTGTGGCAATCTAAGTGGGATTAAGGGCCAGTGGTGCACGGTCATTTATTGAAGCTCTTGCACAGAAGCTCTTGCACAGAATCCACCTGGTTTTCTGTATGCCTGCCATTTTGCCTTCTCTACAGCTTCACCAAAACCAGTATCTCAAGCGTCCTGTAAGCTGAGGGGCGGCTTTCCTGTTTCTACTAGCAATAATAACCTAGTATCCATTTTTGACATTCTGTCTGATTGTTCTGAATAGTTAAGCATTAATTTTTCAAAAGTGGTATAAGGGAAAATTGCAGAAGCTCTGACATGTTTCTTTTGTTGTTGTTCAGTCGTTAAGTCGTGTCCGACCCTTT